TTTAAAAATTTTGAATTTTCATACCCACCTGTGAAACTACCACCCAGGTCAAGACGCGGAACATTTCCAGCCCCTGCTCCCCTCACCAAAGGCTCCCCCTCCCCCACTCAGATCGGCTCTAACATTTGTGATTAATGGTTCTCCTTGATTGAGCACATTGTGCTTTCAGACTCTTTCCTGTTCTCTCGAGACCTGTGCTGTCACCACCACGTGTGGCTGCTGGGCACCTGAGGTTTGGCTTGTCCGTGCTGTTCTGTACCCTACGTGTGGAAAAAAGAATGCAGAAGATCTCATTAATGATCTTGTGTATCGATTGCACGTTAAAATGGCAATAACTTGGACAGGTGGAATTAGATGAAATACTATTAAAATTAATGTCATCTGGTTCGTCGTTACTTTTTCACTGTGGCTGCTGGAAAATTAAACATTCCGTCTGTGTTAGCGTTGCTCTGGGCCGTGAAAGTCTCCTTGCTCGTGAGGACCCGCCTGCTGGCTCTGGCTGCCCCCGGTGTCGCCTGCCTCGGCCCCAGCCAGGCGTTCGTGCTGTGTGGAGGGTGCCAGGACGGTGGTTGACGGTGTGGAGGTGTGAGTGTGGCCAAGAGGTGGCCCTGCTTTGCACAGACCTGTTCTTTGTGGTTTTCAGCCGCAGGCAAGTCCTCGCAGGCTCCTTCTGGTCTCAGTGTTTCTGCCCACCGGTCAGGGTCTGGCTGCCCAGAGAGCCATTTTTGCTGTTTCTGCCTCTTTTTGAAAACACACAATGAGGCCCGCTTCCCAGGGGTGCTGGCACCTCCCTTGCCAAGCCGAAGCACACTCGGCAAAGACTGTTGGAAGGAATGGAGGTGGAGGAGCGTGGGGGCTCTGTGAGTTGGTTTTAAGGTTGACTCAGACCTTCTGGGGACTTTTTCTGGAGTCCCCACCCTTGAGGGAAGCGTTGTCATACCTCTGAAGCCTGTGGGGATGTCTGAGCATCCTGTGTGAGGGGGGCCCTGCCGAGGCTGCTAGGACCGCCTCCCCGTGACTGTCCGCCCCCTGCCTGCCCCTTGTGCCTCTGGAGGGTTCGTGAGGTTGTTTACTTTCGTTTGATAGAATCCTTTTTTTGGCTAAGCTTTTGGTTTTAAATGTGCCCCCAGTACACAGCAGAGGGTTTGGAGTTGCTTTCTTTTGATAGTTTGAGACATAGCTTTCTTTGAAGGTAATCTTGTTCATTTATATTTATTGTTATGTTTTTGCTAGATTCTGCTGTCCTCGTTTGCTCCTCCTTTTGGCCATAATTTGATGTCCCCTATACTTGTGGTTTCAAAGTGGACTGTGCACGGCTCCATGGACAGTTCCAGCATTGATTGCTCAGATCTTATCAAACGTCTTCTTAATCTGAATCTTTTAATGGCTAACAGATACAAACAGGGGAGTTCTTGTTTCTTTAGATTGCCGTATATGGTGACCACAGAACAGAGGACCTTTGGACTTCCTTTTGTAGGCGTCTTGAGCTGTTGGCTTCCTCCTCTCCAATGTGCTCTCCACCCCTTCCTCATGCCACGGGGGCTCAGGGGGAGAAACACGTTAATTCTTGGTTCTCTTTTCTGGCTCTTTCATCCAGCTCATGTTCGCTCTCTGTCCTGAGGACGTATGAAGACTCTTAGCAGCACAGTATGGAGGAAGGGAGCAGAAAGGGTCAGACGATGTTTACTCATTCTGGGATAGTCACACAATCTCGCCAAGCCCCACCTGTGGGTCTTATCATAAAAAAAAAAAGCTAATATACTGAGGGAGGATTAACTGAGAAAATGTGTGAGGCTGTGCCTGGCACATATTAGTTTCTTGATAAATGTTAACGTCCGTTCCCCTCCCTGTTAGTATTCTTAGTGGCTTGGCAGACGGTTTGTCTTTATACTTTAAAACTCGACCTTGAGGTTCTCCTGGTTTAGTTATTCTTATGGGAGGTACGGTGACTTTTTTTTTTGGTATTCTATTTTTTTAAATTGAGGTGAAATTCATATAACATAAAATTAACCATCTTAAAATATACAAGTCAGTGGCATTTAGTGTGTTCATAATGTTGTGCAACCACCACCTCTGTCTAGTTCCAAAACATTTTTAACATCATCCCCAAAAGGAGATGGTGATGCTTTTAAGAATGCCAGCTTTGGAGTGAACAGGACCTTCTAGCTGTGCGACTTTGGGCAAATATTGTAATTTTCAGCCTCTGTTTTCTCATCTTTAAAATGGAAATAATATTGGTCATTTTACATGATTTTTTAAAAAACAGATTTGTTGAAGTATAATTTACATACCACAAAATTAATTCCACCTATGTGTACAATTCAATGACCTCGTAAATCTACAGAGTTCTGCAACCATCATCACAATCTAATTTTAGAACATTTCTATCATTTCCTGTTTCTGTCTCCAGCCCCTGGAAACAATAATCTGCTTTCTGTCTCTGTGGATTTGCCTTTCTGGACATTTCATATGAATGAAATCATATGGTCTGTGGTCTTTCCTGTCTGGCATCTTTCACTCAGCACGATGTTTTCAAGGTTCACCCGTGTTGTAGTATGTATTAGTGCAGCATTCCTTTTCATGGCCGAATAATATTCCATTGTACGGATGGACTGTGTGTTGTTTATCCGTCATCTGTCGGACACTGGGTTGTTTCCGCTTTTTGGCTGTCGTGAATAATGCTGCTGTGAACATTTGTGTACGAGTGTTTGTGCGGCTGTGTGCTTTCATGTCTCTTGAGTGGATTCTAGGAGTAGAATTGCTGGGTCCCGGGAAAGGGTTTTAAGAATTAAGTTTGCCGATGTGTGGCAGTGTCCGGTACCCATAGGTGCTTCATAAATGGTGGTCATTGTTTATATTATTTCCTTGTGGACTTTTTTTTGATGTGGATGATTTTCTGGCCTTCAGACTTGTTATTCGTATTTTGGTAAATTTTTCTATATTCTTATCTGTTGCCGTCCTGAAATTTCCCTTATTTATTGAAGTCTTATGATCCATGGAAATTAAAACAGTTGTTTACCCTTCGTGGCTCAGGGCTATCTGATAAGCCAGATCAGCTGCTTCACTCATTCATGCCACCAGCTTTTACTGAGCGCCTCATGTCTGCCAGGCCTGTGGGGTTTTATGGCTGAAATCTGCGCACCCCAAGAGGAGACGGTGACTGCTTCCATTTTGTTAATCACTATAGCCCCATCACGTGGCATGGTGTTTGTTGAATGAATGCAAGCAAACCCCCCCCCCCCCAAGTAACTGAGTATGGCTGGAAAGCCCCTCTTGTGTGTTCCGTGCCCAGGTCGATCCCTCAGACCTGGGACCGGAAGCTCTGTATCGTTACAACCAGGGGGGCCTGAAGCTAGCTTGTACCCGCTTAGGAGAGCCAGCCAGGTATCTCTTCCCAGCTCCAGCCAGTCATTGTGGGACTACTTATACCATGGAAACAGGCAAAAGCTACAAAGCTTCTCCCCTTTTTCTCTTTTTTTCCGAGAACCTGGTGTTAAACATTTACCAGCACACTAGCCTCTTTCCAATCTCATCTCCTATTATTCTCCTGACAAGCTGGTTTTTCACAGATGAGGAAACTGAGGCACAGAGAGTTGAAGGAACTTGCCCAAGGTAACACAGCCAAAAAAAGACAGAGCCAGAAATCAAACGCACATCTGACCTTGACCGTCTCTATGGTTTTGGGACTACGCAGTACCCGGACTTCACCCATTTTCTCATCTCTAGTCGTGCTTTTTTCTTTTCTTTTTTTTTTTTTTGCCAAACCACTCTGCCACAGAATTCTCGTTTTGATCATTTCTTAGTGTTTTAGGTGCCAAGACTTCCTGGCGGGTTGCCTGAGCAACGCTTGGATCCTGTTCCTTCTTCACGGGAACTCTGTGTTTTATTTTGTTCTTGCAGAATTTCGCTAAAGAGTTTGTGATCAGCGATCGGAAGGAGCTGGAGGAAGATTTCATCAAGAGCGAGCTGAAGAAGGCAGGGGGAGCCAACTACGACGCCCAGACGGAGTAACCCCAGCCCCACCCCCGCCCCTTGCTGAAGTCATCTGCCTGCTCCCCTGGGGAGGGGACCACGGCCTCTGCTCCCAGCCCGCCAGCCCGCCAGGGAGAGGAGACGCAATGAGAGGCAACGCCCGCTACCCTGCCCGCACCCGCTCCCCTTCCCTGCTTCCCTCCCTGGCCCTGTTACCACGTCCTGTCTCACGACGCTCATGGAACATCTTTCTTTCATCCTTTTTTTCTTTCTTCCCCCTCTTTCTCGTACTCAAGAAAAATCATTTTGATGCCAAGGGTACGCGCCTCATCAGATCTGAGGCTCCTCCCGTGGTGACCCCTTTCCCTGGCATTTCTCTGACGCGTACCTAGCCCATCGTGGCCTCATGCTGCTTCTGGAACCTGGACCAGTGCTGCCATCTTGGTTTTCCATGGCGTGCCCGCCTGCTGACCGCGGAGGGGGCAGCTGCCCAGGGGCTGCGCCCGTCGCCTTCATGAGCACACACGTTCATCCCATTCCTTGGGCTCAGACCTCCCAGAATGTGCCCCCTCGCCCCTCGCCCCACCCCATTCAGAGTTGCCTAAGCTACGTGGCCAACAGAGACGGTGCTCGGTGGGGAGACCGCCGGCCTGACTCAGACCCAGAGAGGAGAGAAAATTCGCCTTAACAGTTGCCTGGCAGTGGCTTTGCCACCTGGTCTGAAACGGCTCGTTCGTTCCCACCCTCGTCATGGAAATCTCACTGTGGCCCGGAGTGGGACAAAGGTCTGAGTCCAGATTGGACGAGAGACTCTTTCAGGGTTAACTTCAGGGGCTCCCCAAGCGACAAGGACGCGAGGGAGAGAGGCAAGGGGTGCAGGATGGGATTTAGGGAGAACTGGGAGCAGCTTCCTCACTTTGAGGACAGTTCTCTGCCGCCAGCGAGGACCCTGGCCGTGTGCGGAGCGGCAGCCGCGCCCTCCTGGGACCAGAGCATCTGCGGGTCTCATCCTAGGTCTGCGCCACGCATTCAAAAGGATTTTTTTTTTTTCTCAAAGAAAGATGAGATTGGCTTGGTTCTTCATGAGCACATTTTATATTGTTTTGTTCTTTTTTTCCTGGCTCATTTCATTTGGGGGGAGGAGGTCTGTGCTGTATTGGGGTTGCAACGAACATCTGCACTCAAACAGTTTACAGAAATAAATGTTGTTTTGTTTTTCAAAAAACAAGTTTGTCGGCTTTGTGTTATAAAGCTTCTTTCTGTACTGTAAGAACAAAGGCAATTGTCGTGTTCAGATTTAATAGGCATTTACAGAGCTCCTGGGGGCGAGGCACATTGATATACAGGAGTTTGTTTAATTTTTAACGACAACCTTAAGAAATAGGTGCTGTCTGCGTCCCCATTTTGTGGAAACTGAGGCTCAGAGAGACCAAGTGATTCACCTGAGGCCACCCAGCTAGAAGGTGGCAGAGCCGGGATTCGAACCCAGGTCTCCTGGTGTCTCTGGCACTGCAGTCTTAGGGGAGCAGAGAGGCCCTGGATTTGAGAGAGTGACATGACAGCAGGATTGCGGCATCTCCCCAGTCACCAGAACCCCCCACTCTGTCTTTTCAGGAAAAGCTGAGAGAAGGCGCCCTCCTCTGCTGGGCCCTGACACCCTCTCTGAGGTTGTCCTAGAGCTTAAAAATGACTTCCAGCATGCCAGGCCCTGTGGGAACTCAGAAGCCGGTCAGAGGAGCTTCAGAGCCAGAGACAGCCGGGTTTGGAGGAGCTGAGTGTGGAGTGTGGGGCGGACGAGGCATGGGGAGAGGGCAGAAACCCAATGAGAGCAGGAAAGACACTGCGAGGTGTGGGCAAGGCCACGGTCACACTGCTCCATGCCGGCCACGTCTGGGTTCTAATACCTGCTCCTCTGTGCACAGCTGTGTGGCTTTAGGCAAGTTAGTTAACCTCTCTGGGCCTCAGTTGCCTCATCTGCAAAACGGGCCACAGTCTTACCTACTGCCATAGGTGGGAAGGCTTAAGGAGCAGGGAGGATTGTGTGGGTGTCCGGTAGGGGCTCGGGTCTCATTGCATCAGGCCTGCCACTAGATCTTGTGAGCTCCGCGTGCCCCAGTTTTTTCCTGCACCTAAAGCAGCGGGAGGCAAGCTAGGTCTCTGGCTTCCCGGCTTACGGGATTTTAGCTCCAGTTAGAGAACTTGGGACAGGTGCAGACAAGGATAAGCCCTCTCTGGAAGGAGAGCCAGGCTCTATGAGAGAATTACAAGGGCACTGGGCCCGGTCAGGGGCACCAAGGAGGGCTTCCCTGAGGAGGCAACACCTGAGCTCAGAACTGAAGGAGAGGAGTGAAGCGTGCAAAGGGGACGGAAGACAAAGGCTCCCTGGGGATGTTGCCTGAGGGAAAGCGCAAAGAGGGTGGAGCTGGGTTTGTGTGTCAAGGAGCTTGATTTTTATCGAAAGCTGCAGCTCAGGCCTCTGCTGGGATTTCGGAGGGCAGCTGGCCGATGACAAGGGCTTCAAGGGCGGAGAGAGGCCTCTCCTTTATCCTCTCTTTATCCCCCGGAACTAGCACCCAGTAGGCGTCTGGAATGTTGCCTGGAGCTGGCTGCACCTGCCCCCGTCTCTGCCCGAGGCCAGGACGCCCTGATCTGGCCTGCATCAGGGCCTGGCAGGGGCTGGGGTGGAGCCCGGGACCCGAGCCTCTTGCTTAGACACGCTCCGGAGCACTTCACACGCTGGGCATCAACCGCTGCTCCACGTTACCCCACATCGAATGGTGCCAAGCCACCCCCGTTCCGTGCTGCCGCAGATCTTGTCGGGCAGAGTTCAGGAAGGGCTCAGCTGGGCGATCCTCGCTAGCTGGGGTCCCTCACTGGGTGGTGGGCACATCGACTGGGCTGGACGGCCGAGCTGCCCTCTCAAGTGACCGGAAGCGGATGCTGGCGGTCGTCTGGGAGCTCGGCTGGCGATGGATGGGAGCGCCCTGCGTGGCGGGCTCGGGGTTGTTGACTCCTTGTCTGGCGGCTGGCTTCCTCCCCAGCGAGCGTCCCAGGGACGAGAGGAAGCTGCCTGGCCTTTTCCGACCAAGCTTCAGGAGTCCCACGGCAGCATTTCCGATGGACTCTGCTGGGAAAGTAGTCCTAAGACCCCTAAATTCAAGAAAGGGGATGTCGACCCCACCTCTCCCTGGGAGCAGGGTCAAGACATTTGTGACCTTCTTTTCAAAGGACTGCACCTGCTGGGACGGGACACTGTGCGAGGTGGGGGTGGGGGTGGGCGGAGGCCATGGGCAAAACAAGACATAATTGTGGTGGGAATTCCTAGTCCTCCCAGAGGTGGCTGGTCCTTGCTGATGGGCCCCTGAGGGAGCTGGTTCTCAGCCCTGCCCAGCCCCCCAGGAGCGGTTCCTCTCCAGGGCTCTGAGCTGGAGGGGGCCAGCCCAGGGTGCCGCCCCATCCCCTGCTGGGGTGCCCTCCTCACAGTCTCCCTGCTCCTTGCTGTTCCCTGTTCTCAGTGAGTCACAGAAGAGGGGAGAAAACAAGAGCTAAAAACCAAGTCAGCTACGAGATGACTCATCTCGGGACAGGAGGCCGCTCTGCGCTCAGATGAGTCAGGTCTGAGGTGACCAGCCAGGTGGTCTGGGCCAGTCCCTCCTCACTCTGAGCCTCAGTTCCCCCCTCCATCAACCAGGGTCAGGATCACAGCCCTCACCCGTCTTAGTGCGCCAGGCTGCGATTGCAAACACCACAGGCTGGGTGGCTGGTGAACAGCAGAAATTTCTTTCTTATAGTTCTGGAGGCTGGAAGTCCAAGCTCAGGGTGCCGGCAGGGCCCGGTGAACGCCCTCTCCCGGCTGCAGACTTCCTGCCGTGTCCTCACACGGAAGGGGCAGGGAGCTCTGCGGGGTCTCCTTCACCAGGGCACCAACCCCATCCTCCAGGCTCCGCCCTCACGACCTCAGCACCTCCCGATGAGCCCACCTCCTAATACCACGAGCATGGGGACTAGGATTCCAACAGGGGCGTCTGGGGGACATTAACGTTCAGACACATTGTCACCTCGTGCATTTACAGGAGGAATAAACGAGATGAGGCGCACCGCTGGTCACAAGGTCACCTGTTGCTGCTATGACGGCCACTCTGTATAGTCCTGGGAGACCGTCCTTGGTCTGGGGAAGGGCTGGGCCCTCAGCTGCTCTGGCTTAACACCAAGGCAGTGATAGAGCGTCTAGAACCTTCTACCCCTGCTTGTCGGCGCCACCACTCGTGGGCCCACCATTATAGCTCTGGGTCGGGCAGACGTCCCATGGAGAACACAGACGCTTCTGGGATGAGTTTTGCCAGAGCCAACTGACGGCTGGATGAGGCTTGGGAGGGGCTCTCAGACCCCCTGGTGGGGAGAGGGGCTGGCACTGGGACCCAGCACCGTGTGAGGTGGAAGGGTTCAAATCCCAACTCCACCACTTACAGGCTGTGTGACCTCAGGTGGGACACTTGACCTCTCTGAGGAGTAGCCAGGCTAGGTCACATAGCCATGCCAAGTGAGTGGGGCGGGGATGTATCACCAAATATTTGTGAACAGAAATACAATCTGCCACACACACCTGGTAACTGGCTAAGCCAGGCAGTCCCAGGTACGAGGATCTTTTCATTAGCCCATGCTGTGGGGTCTGCCGCAGGAACGAATGAATGAGCCCGCAGGAACGAATGAATGAGTGAGCGCCAACATTCTGCCCAGTAGGAAGTGACTGCTTAGCCTCACCTGGGTCCTCTGCTGCCCGTTGGCCGGGACAAGGCCCCTTGGCAGGCGGCCCCTCGGGGTGTAGGCAGGCTGGAGCAGGAATTCGGGCCGTTGGGCTCCCATACGAAGAAAGAGGGACAGACACCAGGCAGCCAAACCCCACCATGGCCGTGGTGCCTTGACATGAGGGAGCCGTCACCACTGTTTCTCCAGCTGGAGACAAAACTGAAGGCGGCTCGAAGCGACCACGTGAGGCCTTGGTCGGGGCCTCTGGACACGTGGACTTCCCTCGAACACAGACCCGGGAGTTCGTCCAGTGGGGCAGCTGCCCAGATGCTCACGCTCCTTGTCTTGGTCAGAATGTGTTGTCAGCCTTAGAAACCTGGAGAAGGAGAAGTCACGCATTTGGCTGAAAGCCGCTCGCAAATCCGGCCGAACAACGAACGGGTTCCAGGTGACCGTCCACGAGGAAGCCGGGGAGACGGGCTGTGAAGTCCTGGGAGCGGACGCGGCCGTGTCCGGAATCTGAGGCCTCCTCCAAGGACTGCGCTTGGACGCAGGGAAAGGAGGTGACTGCCATCTCCCTGCTCCTCTGTGAGCGGGTTCGGGTCACGATGGCTCCCCCAAAACCTCAGGGGCGCTCCAGCCTCGGGGACTGAGGGCGACCAGGCTGCTGTGCTCGGGCGGCGGGATCCCACGGAGTGTCCAGTAGAGGAATGGCGTCTGTCTGTTCTCGCTCACGACTTGGAGGGGGAGTCCCGAGGGCACACGAAGCTGGACCGCGCCCTCGTGGGGGCAGCTCCCCGCGTCCTCCCAGAGCCTGACAGTCGGGGGCCCTTGACATCGCTCTTGTTTGAGTGAATTCTTAAGTCATGGAACTAAGAGAGAAACATATTTAGAACTTACTCTTTTTTCAACATTACTCTTTAATTCTGAGCCTTTTGTTGCCCATTGGAAAAGTTCATCCTAAATTTAGAAGAGAATTTCGCCCCAAATGGCAGCTGCACCGTCCCAGCCCCTCGCTAACCCCCCAGGAACACCTCTTTGCCCTGTGATCCATTTACGCTTCCCACCGGGGCTGGGGGCCCTGTGTGCCTCTCCGGCCGGGACTTGGTCCACTTCCCTCCTTGGACCCCTGATCTCCGTCCTTCCTTCCCTTTCCTGAAGACCCCGCTCCCTCCCTTGAGAGAAAGACTGGTCCCTGCCCCGACCTGCTTCTTCTAGAAGGTCCCCCCACACCCCGTGTAGTGGGCTGAATGGTGGTCCCCAAAAAGATACGTCCGTGCCCTGGAACCTGTGCCCGTGACCTTATTTGGAAATAGTCTCTGTAGGTGTAATTAAGTTAAGGATCTCCAGATGAGATCATCCTGGGTTTAGGGTGAGCCCAGAGCTAACGACAGGTGCCCCTTCTGAGAGACACAGAGGAGAGCCCGTGTGAAGGCAGAGGCAGCGATGGAGGGGTGCAGCTGCAAGCCTAGGAGCGCCCGGAGCCATGGACGCTGGAAGAGGCAGGAAGGACCCTCCCCAGAGCCCCAGCATCTGGAGGGAGCAAGGCCCTGCTGACTGTGATTTTGGACGGCGAGAGAATACGTTTCTGCTGTTCTAAGGCCCCAGTTTGTGGTCATTGGTTCCAGGAGCCCCAGGACACCCCCCTCTGTCATTTGCTTCTCTCTCTGCCACCCACTGGGAACCTCTCCAGAGCAGGGCCAGTGTCCCCATCGCCTCGCACAGAGCAGGTGCTCAGGGAACGATGGGTTAGGGGGCCCTGCCCTGCTCTCCAAGACGCACAAGGAACCCCGTGTGGTGCTGAACCAGGCAAAGGGGCTGGGGGCTCCTGGGCTTCCCCCACCTGGGAGCTGGCTCTCACCTCTGGCTCTGCCCCCATCCCGCCCCTGGAGGCAGGCTCGTATCTCGTGTACCTGTCCACCTGTCTGGCTCCTCCACCTCCGGAGGCTTGAAGTCATTACGCTGACTGCTCCTCCCTTTTAATTGTCTCTGGAGGAGGCTTAGGGACCGCAGGAAGGCTGCTTCCAAGGCTGGGGCAGGTGTGGGATCTCGGCTCCCTCTGGGTAGGACCAGGGGGACAGGTGTTGCCATGAGGCCAAGACCCACACCAGGGAGTCTGAGGCTCTGGGGACCACTCGGCCTGCGGGGCTTACAGATCCCCTTGAGCTGGGGGCACCTGCTGCCGTGGGAGCCTGGGGAGGGTCTGTTCTGTCTGCCCGTGCCGGGGACCTGCGCCGGGGAGCCCCTCTCCGCCCCTGGTTTGGGGAGCTTCCTGCCGCTGGGGGAAAGGGAGCAAAGAGGCCCCTTTGAACTGAGGGCGAACAGTCTGCCATGGGTGAGTCGCCGAGAACTAGAGCAGACATCCACATATTGCTCTTCGCACGTTGTCCCGTCCACAGCAGTTCCCGCGTCTGGTGTCGCGGCTGAGGACGTCCTAAGCCACGGGTGGCGCACAGAGGCAAGAGAAACTTCGATTCTTCCGATAAATCCCAAAGCATAAAGGTGGGTGTAAAAGGCACTTTGCAAAATGATAAAGGCACAGATTGCTAACACTGGAGCTAAATATTCAGACAAAATCACAGGACGTATTGGTCATGAATGTGTGCATGTGAGCAGAAACACATCAGATGCGTGAGAATGAGCCGTGAGCCCTGTAAGGGGGTGGGGTGGGGGGAGAAAGACAGCGTCCGAGTGGGACCCCAGCTGCGTGTGTTGGTCTCATTCATTTTTCTTTTTTAATTTAATTTTTTCTTTGAGGAAGATTAGCCCTGAGCTCACTACTGCCAATCCTCCTCTTTTCGCTGAGGAAGACTGGCCCTGAGCTAACATCCATGCCCATCTTCCTCTCCTTTATATGTGGGACGCCTACCACAGCATGGCTTGACAAGCAGTGCCATGTCCGCACCCGGGATCCGAACTGGTGAACCCTGGGCTGCTGAGAAGCAGAACATGCACACTTAACTGCTGAGCCACCAGGCTGGCCCCGGTCTCATTCATTTTTAAAAGAGTGGAAAGAAATAGACGCAATAAAATGGAAGCATCAGTGTAATGGGCATGTGGAATTTGTCAGGTTTTCTCCATTTTCCTGTCTGTTTGGTTAATATAGAATTTTAGAAAAATTTTAAAAACGAACAAGAATTCACACAGCGCGGCCAGCAGAGAGGCGTGTCAGTCTGCTCACCTGGGACAGGTGACGTGTCTGAACTGATGGAAGAGTCGAGATGAAGCTAAGAAAAGCAAGCGCTATCTTACGGAGGAACAGCCCAGAAGGGAACAGACGGACTGCTGCTCAACGGCGGGGTTCTCAGCGTGAAGATTGAAACAGCACGGAAATGGGGCCAGGGGCTGCTGAGAACCAGGTTGTTGGTGTGGAAGATCAAGAGGAAGAGTGTCTCCAGACGCCCCCGCATGCTCCTCCTGGCTTCCTCCCTCAGGACCAGGGGCGCCCACCGCCCAGGCCCCCACCTCCCGGGTCCCTGCACCCCGTCTCAGCAGCATTCCCAGAAGCCTTCCACCGGTGCTGGCTGCTTCTGGCTCTGCCCCGACTGTCGCCCCTGGACGGCAGGGCGTGTCTTCCTTGTCTGTCTGGCTCCTCCAGCTTCTGGCACAGTGCCCGGCACACAGTAGGAGCCCAATTAATGCTCACTTAATGGACACCACTAAATGGGCTTGCACCACGAGGAGGTGCTGTGCTCCTCCAAGGGTGTCGCCAGACGAACCTCCTGGCATATTTGCTGAAATGCCGATCCCCCCAGGGCCCCATCGCAGACCCAGGGAGTCGTGATCCTCAGGGATCGGCCCAGAATCTGCATTTTCAGCGAGTTTATCCAGCGATTCTTAGATGCTCGAATGAGAAGGCCGCTGCCGAGGGCAGAGCCTAAAGATGCTCTTCCCCAGTGGTTCTGAAGGGCTGGTCCAGGTCTGCGTCAGCATCGCCTGGGAACCTGGTGACAGGCAACTCCACAGCCCGGTCCCTGGCCTGCTGAGCCGCACGCAGGGGCTGGACAGGAGTCTGCGTTTAAACACGACCCCCAGGGGATATAGATGCAGGTGAGTTCCAGAACCACTGTTTTTGAGCACAGCCCCATTGTCCTCTCTTTTGGTAGAAAAGAAACTTTGATTCCATTTTAGAAGAAGTTTTAGAATAAACACATTTTTTCGCTTTATAAGTATTACTTGCCATCATAAAAATGTTTAGAAAACAGCCGAAGAAGATAAAGATAAAAACTATCTAATACTCTGCCTCCCAGAGGGAACCACTGTCACCTTTGGGGGTGCAGTCTTCTAGACTTTTTCGTGCAGCATATGCATTTTTATTTTAAAAAATTGAGATTCTGCTCTGTTTGTGTTTTTGTAACCTGCTCTTTCCACTTATCAATATATGGTGAACGCTTTTTCGCACCAGTGAGTGTTACCGTAGTCATTTTTTTGTAGCTTGTACTGGATGGTTGGGCAATTATTAATTTAGCTAAACCTCTATGGCTGGATATTTAGACTTGGAATTGGCAAGCTGGTGACCCACAAGCCAGATTTGGCCCCCTGATGTTGTTGGACTGCACGTATATAGCTGCACACTTTGCCAACGCACAACTGCAAGACAGCACTGTTCATTTGAGCTTGCTTGAGACTGCTGCCCCCAGAGTTGTGCAGTGCACAACCTGTACAGCAGTACTCAGAGGCCCCCATCCCAAATTTTGAATGGTTGCCAATGTTTAAAAGTGGAAAGATTTCACGTAAAAACCCAGATCTCAACTTTTCTTGACAAATCTGAATATCCAATAACACTAGGATTGCATTCCTGCAGAGCAACGGGGCCTGGGACTGAGATACGGGGTGGGGGGGGGGGGCGTGCTCTCCAGTGAATCCCCCTGCAATCCTTTGACATGAACTCCTTCATGTTAACAGCATTTGAGTTGCCACCCTTGGATGACACTTTTAAATATTTGTTGAATGAAGGAGTCACTCTTCAAAGCTTAGAGACAGAAGATGCTTCCCTTATTTCATTGAAATGGCCCAGATGGGGAGTTGCTATGGCAACACTGGGACCGTAGTGTAGATTGCTTCAGGGATGATGACAGACGATGCTCCTAGAAGAAGCACCCCCTACCCCTCGGCGGCCCCCTGGGAGCCACTTCCAGCGTGGCTGTAGTTGCGATCATTGTCTGATAGGATCGCTTTTAGAGCTGACTGTTGGCCCTGAGAGGGTCACGGTTCCACCTGGCGCTGTGATCCCCGTGCCTCCCCGACAAACGATTCCTCCTATTGTGTACCTCCCCACGAATACCGCGTCTTGGAGCGAATGTCTGCCAGACCAACTGCCTTTCTGAAGCACAGATTCATTTTCTCATTGAAGAAGAAAATCAGAGGTGAACAGTGGTAGCCCCGTGCCATGCCCTGCCGAGGCAAATGGGCTCTAATCCTGGCTCTGCCGTTCACTTGCTGTGCAACCTTGGGCAAGTTACAAACCCCTCTGAGACTCAGTTTTATCAACTTTTAAGTAACAATAATAACAACAACAGTCCCCGTCTCATAAGGTTGTTGTAAAGTATCCGATGCGTGGTCGTGCGTGAAGCCCTCCACGCGCGGCTTGGCTGACACACAGAGTGGCCGCTAAGATTTTGATTATCAATAGCCATCAGGGTGCGAGCTTAGCGGGACTCAATCTGTGTAGCCACATTGAGGTTAAAACAGAGAAAGCTGACCCCCATTGCCAGGTTTAAGGACCAACTGGGTCATCCAAGGAACCCAGCCTGGGGCCACGTCAAGGCTGCTGGGACCGTGCACGTGCGGTTGGGCCCTGGAGCGGGTTCTGCGCTGGCTCCCAGGGCCCGTCTGTGTCCTCGACCTGCTGTGGCAGCGTCGCTCTCCTGAGTGAGGAGCCCTGGTACTCAGCCTTCACTGCTCCCTCCTTCTAACGCTGCCGAGGCTGAAGTCCTCCGACCCTCTCGGAGCTGGGGTTCCGGGTGCAAGTTTGGCGATGCCAGTCAGATGCGTTCACGAGCAATCTGGAAGGCAGGAGGAGGGGGAGCTGTCTCTCTGCAGTCTGTTTCCTCTTGGCAAGTGATGCTGGCGTCCAGTCTCCAGCTCTGTGGGGTCGATCGTGCAGGTGCAGGACAGCAGTGGGGGCTCTGACCCCTGACTGTGGCTCCGCGGGTGTGTTCTTGACCCAACAGGCCCCTCAGCCGCTTTCTGATTCTCCCTCCTCTGACTGTGGCATCTCCTCTGGTGGGTCAGTTCTGCAGCATCTCGGGCTCAGCCTGGAGCTGCTCTCCAGCCAGCCATCGGCTTTGTGGGCACCCAGTACCTTGTGCTGAATTGCTTTCGGCCAGAAATACTTAGAGTCGGTTCTCCTTTCTGTGTCGAGCCTGACTCACGCCACCTCCCTGGGTGCTCCATCCCTGCTGGCCGCCCGGCACGTGTGCCCGCCTTGAGCTTCCATCCCCGGCTGGGTCTGGCTCTCAGCCTGACTCAGACCTCAGGGGGTGCTGCTTACCTGCAGTGTAGACAACCCACTTCAGAGTGTGGCTCACCTGCGCGGAGGCACTGGGCCCCCTCCTGGAGAAGAACAGCGTACCGGGGGTGCTGTTCCAGGTTCGCACTACACTCCGAGTTCTGGGCTCTCGTTCAGCAGTGAGTGAGTTCAAGAGTCGCTGAGGAATATTTCAAAACTAACCGTGAGGGGTCTGGCTTGAAAATGACTCCCCGCCTCATTACATCAAAAGGCCTGTGGAGGCGGACAGTTTAATGTGCCTTAAAAATTCGGTGCTTAGTGACTAAGTCGTGAGCTTTTCCTTATTAATGTTTCATCTTTTTCAGCTACAAAAATAATAGATATCCAATGTAACTAATTCCAATAATACAGAAGTGTATAAAATAAAAAGAAAAGTCGGGAAGAATACAAACGAAACTATAAAGAGTGGGTACCTCAATCTGTGTTCTTCCAGACTTTTCTTTTCTTTGTGTGCGCACAAACACACACACACACACACGCATACAGGTGTGTATACATTAAAATGAAATTATTTCTAAGTGAAATTATATATGCACATAAAATGCACAGATGTATAGTTTTGCAATGTGCTACTTTCACTTAACGATGCATCAAGGAAAATGTTCCCCGTCAGTTCATGTAGATACATCTCATTTAAATTCTCTTTAGTTTTTGAGATCCTGGAAGTCTCACAGTTTACTGAACCAGGCCCTCACTCATGGGCACTGTGGCAGGCAGAATTCTATGATGACCCCCAGGGACCCACACCCTTGGAGAGCCCCTCCCCTTGAGTGTGGGAGGAAGATATGGACGTGATGGGGTGTCACTCCTGTGACTAGGAGATGTTATATGGCACTGTCGAATTAAGACACTGAGAAAGGGAGATTATCCTCTGTGGGCCTGACCTAATCAGGCGATCCCTTAAAAATCCCTTAAAGATTCAAAGCGTGAGAGGAGCGAGGGCCTGAGAGAGGCCCCCAGGCAGAGAGCGACTCCTGGCTGATGGTCCACAAGAAAGCAGGACTCGGTCACAGCGCCACAAGGAAATGAATTCCGTCACCACCCTGAACGAGCTTAGAAGAGGAGCCTGAGGTCCAGGTGGGACTGCAGCTTGCTGACGTCTTGATTCCGGCCTTGATGCCCTGAGCAGAGATGCCCGTGTGACATCATAAGGAGGGGCTTTGGAGGGGAGAGGGCTTGTTGTAAGTTGCCAAGTGGGTGGCAGTTTGTTTGGCAACAATAGAAAGGTGGTATTTAGCTTGTTTCCAGCTTTTGTTTGTTTTCCATTAACCTCTCTGTCTTGAACCTCTTTGCACACTCATCTTTAGTCTGAAAGATTTTTGGGTGAATCGTTTAAACAGCGACATGAGCAACCCAGCCGCCCTCCTGCAGCCCCGGGCTGACAGGCTCCATCCCGTCTCCCTGTGTCCTCGCCAACGCTGGATGTTATCTGCCTCTTTTTATTGTGGTGAAACACACAGAGCATAGCATCTACCCTTTTAACCATTTTAAAGTGAACCATTCAGTGGTGTTATGCGGCCATCACCACTCTCTAGTTCCAGAACTTTCCATCGCCACAAAAGGACACCTCATATCCAGAAGCAGTCTCTCCCTAAGCCTCCATCCCCCATCCCCCGGCAGCCACCAATCTGCTTTCTGTCCCTCATCGTTAATCTTTTCATTCTTGCCAATCGGATGTGCAAATAGGGGTGTTTATTTCAAGCTGCTCTTACAACGGGCTCCCGTGCCCTACTCCAGCTCACACGCGTGTGTATGAGTGCGGACTGACCCGCCCCGTGGCGAGGGGCTCAAGGCACAAACAAACGGGGCGTCTTTGCCCCTCCCCACCTGCCCGCGCTCCCCATCTCTGTCAGCCCCGTCTCCTCTCAGCCCCACCTCTCCAGCCCCAGGCCTCAGCTGTCTTCTCTCGCTTCCGTGTTCCAGGTCTGTTGATTCTAACTGGGGAAGCCACCTGTGCCTTGTCCTGCCCCCCGACATCCCCCAGGCTCGGGGCTGGCCTCCCAGAGGCCTCTCTGGGCAGGGTGCAGGGACGGGGCTGAGTGCGGAGGAGACGGCAGGGAGAGGTGGGGAGTGTGGCCAAGGGAAGGGTCGGTCCTTCCCAAAGAGGGCGGCTCTCACCTCACACTGTGGTGGCCGTGTTCCCAGGTCTTCTGATTTTCCAAAGAAGCCCCAGCTTTGGGTATTTATAGGAAAGCGATGGGCATCCCATTCAGAAAACACATTCTTGCTCTGAGCAACCTGGAGCAGGGGGCGGTGTGCAGGAGGGTGCGGTGTGCAGCAGAGAGCCATTTTGCCCCAGGGCCTGGCTCCTTTGCCAAAGAACAAGAGGTGTGGGGACAGCAGGTCCCAGCTTGCTGGAGGCTTCAAAAGCCCCAGACAGACACCCCCGGCTCTGCCTCCAGGCCCAGCGTACTCCTGCCAGGCCCTTTAAAGACTCTAGAACATTCTCTCCAGCTGCCTGTGTGACCGCGGCTCTCCCCTTAGTGCAGCAGAGCGTCTGGGAAAAAGCAAGCCTGTGTGTCACTTTCCTGGAGCATCTTGAGGTCCCCTGTGGGCCCGGCACCCCCACCCGTGTGACATGGAGATGCTCCGGGTGGGGTGGTTCCACTGGATTTACGAGCCCCCAGAGCAGATGCTGTGGGAGGCTCTGCCTTTCCCACCCTGGGAATTGTGCTGAGGTGGCGTTGGGGGCTGGGCTATTACTGGCTGAGAGAAAGAGACAAAGAAAACCCCAACCACAAGGCCCAGGCTTGGGGGCAGGCCGGGGATGCACCAGCTGTCGGGGCGGGCTGTGGGTGCCGGGGGAGTGCTGGAGAGTTCCGGGGGCGCAGGCGGCCCTCCCTAGGGCTGCTTGGCTGTGGGGGGAACGCTGGCTCCCACAAGCCCTTAGGGGCCTTAAAACCTGGCTCCTGCTTGGAAGTTCTTCTAAAGGGCTCTTCTTGACAACAGCCATCGGCCCCAAGGTCGCAGCCACATTAACCCAGGGTCTCAGGTTTCATCTGCATCTGGGAAGGCTGAGCTCTGGGCCTCCCAGGAGCCTCTGGACTGAGCTGAGAGGTGGGCTGGGTGGTTTGGGGGAGGGGAGAAAGAACACCTCCCGTGCAGGGGAAGCCACCGTTTTAATTGAGGTCCTACTACGTGACAAGCATACGTCATTCTCATCTATGAGGGAGGCGATGCTGTTAACCATTTTACAGATGAGGAAACTGAGGCTCAGAGAGGTGAAGCTACTGACCTAAGATCACAAAGCTAGTAAGTGGCAGAGCTGGGATTTGAGCCCAGGTCTGTTGGCAACAAAGTCCATGCTGACGTCTTTCCCTCCCTCCCTCCTCGTCACCTCCAGAATCACCCATCTCATGGCCTCTTTACATTCCAAGCTGGGTATTCCACCAGCCTCTCTAGCTTAACAGGTGGAGGTGGTCTGAGCTGCCACCAGCCCTTGTGTGGATTATTGTCACAGTCTGCGGCTTCCCTCCTTGTCCCCATGGTCTGTTTCCTCTCAGCCACCAGCCCAAGGGATGCTTTTAAGATCTAAGACGGATTACATCTGCTCAGACCCTGCATGGCTTTCTGTTCACACAGAGCAAAACCAGGAGTCATTACAATGGCAGCAAGGCCAACCGTGATGGGGACCCCGATGTCTCAAGACCTCATCACCTGCCACACACCCACTCTCTCTGGTCTGGGCACACAGGCCTCCTTCATGTGCTTCACACTCACGTGGCACAGTCTGCCTCAGGGCCTTTGCATGACTCCCTCCCTCTGCCTGGAGAACAATTACCCTCTCCTCCACGTCCTCATGCTCACTCCCTCCTTCAAACACCTCCTTCTGCTCAGTGTCGCCTTATCAGAGGGCCCTGCCCTGCCCCTTGTTCTGTTCAGCCCCCTGTGTCCCCTCTCGGCTCCAGGCCCAGTGAGTTTTCAGAGCACTGATCACCTCCTGACAAGCTGTGTATTTGTTTGTTCGTGGCCGGCCTCTCCCCTCCAGAGAGGACCCCCAGGAGAATAGGGACTTCATGCTGTTCCCCGGCACCAGGAGCAGTTCTGGCTGTAGAGTGGGCTCCAGAAACTTGCTTCGTGAACGCGTCTCCGTCTGCATCTGTCTGTGTCCATATCTGTCTCTATAGCTGTTTCTGTGTCTGTGTCTCTCTGCTGTATCTGTATCTGTGTGGGTGTCTGTCTGTATGTGTATCTATATAGATAAATAGCTTAGGGTGGTTTTAAACAAATGCACCCTCTTCTGTAACTCGGTCTCACCTCTCGCTCTGTGCTGGCTCTTAGCTTCCTTGTAGATAGACCAGCAGTTCTCAGCTGCAGGCGATTTGTGCCCCAGGAGACGTCTGGCAACGTCAGGAGACATCTGTGATGATCTCGCCGGGCGATGGAGGGGGTGATACTCGGCATCTGGCGGGTGGAGGCCAGGGATGCTGTTAAACCCCTCCAGTGCACAGGCCAGGCCCACCACAAAGAATGACCCAGCCCCGAATGTCACCAGTGCCAAGACTGAGAAGCCCTAATGTAGATGTGGCATTCTTCTCTACGACAGCACAGTCCACAGAATAAATGTACCATAATTTATGTCACACTTGCATCCCGATGAACGGTGAGGCTATTTCCATTTCCTTACCCCTGTCAACAATGCTTCAGGGAGTGTCTCGTGCGGGCCTCCCTGGGCACCTGTGCAGGTATCTCCTGAGGACAGAGAAAGAGCAGAGGGTCAAAGGAGGACACACCCCTTTGCAATGGGGAGGGCCCTGCCAAGTCGCCCTGCACACAGGTCGTGCCAGTGCACATCTGGCCCAGCATGGGCAGGCACCGATGCCCACCTGTGCTGCGGGCACCCGTGTCCGCACCTGCTCCAGAGGAATCTTGGCACAGTGCGCCCACCGGAGGGAGACGAGGCTTGTGCCGAGAACAGAGCCAAGGGGGCCACTTTGGCTCTTTCCCTTTTGGGGCCAGCTCCTCCCCACGCCTCTCTGTGGGAGCTCAGAGCTCAGCTCTGCCACTTATCAGCTCTGCGATCTGGGCAAGCCGCTTCCCCCTCTGTGCCTCAGTTTCTCCATGTGTAAAGTCGAGCTAATCAGAGCAGTCCCCGCTCGAGGAGTGTTGGGGATGAAATTAGTTATGACTGGTAACTGTTAACAAAGACCCTCCGGGCTGCTAGCGCTCCCCGAACATGGGCTCTTCCTGTGTCGGTCCTTTAAGGACAGCTGTTGGCATTATTTATAAAGCTGAACAGTTGGAAGCAGCCAGATGTCCCGCCGTAGGGGAAACACCGAGTGCTTTATGGGGCGCCCCCACGGAGTCTGCGAGCCCGGCGTCAGCTCTGTCGTGGTCCCGCTCGGGTTGCCGGAACGAAAACCAGAGATGGAGCTTCAAGAACAGGCGTTTCCTTCTCGCAGCTCTGGAGGCGGGAGGTCCAAGATCAGGGCTTCCTGGCGAGGGCTCTCTCCCGGCTTGCAGGCGGCCGCCGTCTTACTCTGTCCATGGGTCTCTTCCTCGGTGTGTGCGCGTGGAGAGAGCGCGCATGCGAGCTCCTGGTGTCCCTTCTCGTAAGGACACCAGGCCTTTCAGATCGGGACCCCACTTCATGACCTCATTTAACCTTCATCACCCCCTTTACTAGGCTGCATCTCCAAATAGACATACAATGGGGGCGGGACTTCAGCGTATGAATTCTGGGGAGATACATGCATTCAGTCCGTAGCAGGGTTAATTATCCTGAAGTGCCAAGATTGAGAATGTTCTACTTGCCACCTCACCCACAAATGGCGTGCAGTTATAGAGAAAGAAAGTTTTATTTTTGCTCATTAAAAAGAATGATTCTGGGACTCCGCCAGAGGAAAGGCCTGGAATGGGTGGGCAGGAGGAGGTGTGTGTGGCCCCCTGGCCTCTCCGTCCGTCAGTCGGCTTTCCTCTCCTCCCGGGAGCATCTCAGGCAGCAGGGAAATGACAGTCCTGGGCCAGCTTGCCCGCCGTCTGCCTCCCTGTCCAATGTCTGGGGTGGCGGCTCCGTCCGCCCCTTCCCTTCTTGGGGCCCAGCACCTGGGAGGGCACCGGGGCCATAGCAGGTGCAGATGGGCAGGAAACGGGGCTACGGTCTGTCCTGAAGTATCAGCAGTGTCACGGGGACTGGGAGGGAGCGTGGGAACGATGTCAAACTGTCTCTTGCTTAGGTTTGTGACACAAAAACTGGGGAAAGTTGAAATGGGTTGTGTATAGATTTCCCCAAAGGCCAAACTGGTGACTTCACTAGTTCCTGGTACGGCGGTGAAGAGGAGGTTTAATCAACCTGAAGGGGCGGGGGGCGCGGAGGATGGTGCAAACACTGCTTGTAATCGATGTCCCCCCAGGGGCCCCGGCAGAGACGACCCAATCCACACATCCCCTACATGCTCTGAGAATCCACCACGAGGACCAGACAAGAGAGCTTTTTAATTATTCATGATTCGCACTTTATCTCAGTTTAGAAAAGAAAAGCTAATACCAGCGGCCATTTTTGCTGCATCCTCGGGTTCCACTCTGAAACCCGCTCTGGGCTCTGGTTTCAGATTTGTGATTTCAACCCTGCGATGACCCTGCGACCCCTTGGCCTTCGGGTACCAGGGGTTGGTGCAGCCTGTCATGGACAAGCGAGGTGGCCCCACGTCCCCATCTGCCGCTGGGGAGCGCACGCTGGGAAGGGCCAGGCCGCCGGGCCCCCGTCACACAGCCGGACGTGGTAGAACTGATGCTTGAACAGGTGGGGACCCCAGCACCCCAAAACCTGTGCTTCCTCATGTGAAATCCTGTTCCCTTCACCTGAGGGTCTTTTGAGAATCAACAGGCCCCACCAAACAAGAAAAGTCAGAAAGCCACAGGTGTCAGACGGACCCCACGCGGTCACTGGAGAGAACGCGGCCCGAGAGAGGGTCCTGGCTCAGGTCCTGGTTCTGCTGTGGACGAGCTGTGTGGCCCTGGGGCTGTCCCTCTGCTTCTAGGGCTCTCAGTGTCCCCTGAGATTAGGTCAATCTTCCCAAAGGTGACGTGTATGAGACTGGCTGTTTGTGCGGTGACTTCAGGGCACACAGAGGAACAGTCGTTATGTTAATTGCTATGTCACCATTGTCCTGTGTTGAAACACACACTAGCAGAGGCTAACGCTTCCATCAGCAGTTCTGACGATTAAGCACAGAACCACCTGGAAAGCGTGTCAAAATGCAGATTGCTGGGCCCCCCCCAGCACTTCTGATGCAGTGGGGCTGGGTGGGGCCCGAGGATCTGCCTTTCCCACAAGGCCTCAGGTGGTGCTGA